AGTGATTACGGCGGGGTTGGGGTGGGGGTGCAGGTGTGGGGATAGGGTGGGGGATTTAGGGGGTGGGTTAGGGGGGGTAAGAACCGTCAATTTTACGAACGGAGCACCGGAGATGCCCCAAAAAGTCAGTGGCACCGCTAGTGGCACTGTTCTCCGGTGTCACTAGAACCGGGTCGATCTTCTAGTTCGTATATTTTACTCTGTAATAACTGCTCTATTCAAATATCATGTGCAAGTCCATCCTTTATTTGTCACTTTCTGGTTTTCAATTTACCTATTTTCATGTGATTCTCCGACCCATTTGAGAAGGACCTCCAATATGAGACTCATTTATTTCTATTTAAATAGCTAGTTTATTTATTAAAAATGATGTAAAGGTGTTTGATACTCCGTATTTTGCTTTGTTTGTATCAGCCGGATGCTGGGATATGTTTGAAGGGAATAATAAAGTGTGTTTATGGTGTTAAAAAATAAATAAATGAAGAAATATTTGCACTAAATAGCACTAAAATTTAAGTCATTTCTATAAATAGTACTTAAATTGTTTTCTTCCCTAAATAGTAATTTATACTGTCTATAATGACCAGCGATGACAAATATTGACTTGAATAATGACTAATGGATAATGACTAAAAGTGCTACATTAGAAAAAAACATATGTAATGCTATTTAGGAAAAATCATTATATTTTAGTGCTATTTATGTAAATTCCTCATAAACGAATTCCATAGAATTTGATTTATTTAGAATGGATATGTGTTCACAAAATTTTCCTCCACCAATGAGGGGGTGGAGGGGTTGTTTGTGAATTGTGATAAACTCTTTGCTCAACTTTGCTAAAAAGAATACTTAAATTACTAAATTTAAAAATGAGTATTTCAATATGAATATACTCTCAATTTCACAAAAATTTTTACACTTTCCCTTTTTGCCCAAAAGTAAACTTTATTTTCTTTTTAATGACATGGACAAGTAGCTCTCAACTTCTCTTTTCTAAACAAACCTTTAATCATAAGATTTTCTTTTTTTTCAAACTAATTAGTAAAAATCAAACAAGAAATGTTATTATTAATGGAAAATTTATTGGATAAAGATTTAAGTTTAACTAACATGTGTAATTTTCCCCGTCTCAAAATGAAAAGACTTTTTTGCTATGGATTACTCTGTATTCGGTAAAATATTTGATTGATGTTATTTTCAATTTAGTGTATATGGAAATTGATATATATTTACAAAATAAATTTCATATATGGAGAATATAAAAATTACGTAGCACGTACAGTACGTACTCTCTCCGTTCCATATAATAGTTTCACCTTTGACTCGGCATAAAGATTAAGAAAAATAAAATTATGTGGTAACGTAGAAAATGATGCAGAGAAGATATAAATTATAAGCACCACAAAATTATTAACAAAAATAAAAAATAAAACTATTTTTAGGATGGACAAAGTATGAAATGTCAAACCTTTTTGTAGAACATAAAATACATAATTGCGAAGTATATAAAATAAGATGTGATAATTCTATATTATTATACTCCCTCTGTTCGAAAATGTTTTTCACGTACTATAAATTTTTAGAGCTTCTTTTTTATTAAAATAGTAACAAAAAAGTAGATTAGTTGTAAAATAGAAAGATATTATTAAAATTTATCCTTAAAAGGTAGACTAAAAAAGAAAATGGAAAAAATATTTCTGAATGGACCAAAAAAGAAAATGAGAAGAATATTTTCATATGCGGAGGGAGCGTCAAACTGAGTCACTAGGTGTTGCAGAGTTTGCAAAAGCATGGAGTGTCAAGGGTGTAGACACGAGTTCGATTTCTCGCAACTATGATGGGAACCAACTATGCTAAGCATAAGGCCTCTGCGAGTACCAGATGCAGAATTCACTTTAGATATTCATCTGCGGTTAAAGTTTAATTTACCTTTTTTCAGTAGCGTTCTGATTGGGTCTCGAGGGATCACTCAAATTTGGGACGAAATGAGCATTGATTAAGGATGTAATTAATGATAATTTCACGTGTAAATACATGTGATCGGAGTATTTGGAACATAAAGTTACTGAGAATTAAAGAAAAATGCTAGGGGTACACCAAATGTGTACCCCACCCCCTCCTTGTCCACAAAAAAGAATAAATAAATAAAAATAAAATAAAAATGAGTAATAGAAAAGGGTGTGATGTATATTTGGGGTATACCAAAAATGTACCCCTAGCATTGCTCTGGATTAAATGATGAATGGTTGCACAGATAGTTACAGAACAGAGACAAAATAGACTAGCATTTGGTCAAACTGTCCATGAAAGCAACTGGTGTGGAACTGGGTGAGCAATATTTTGGGGGATTTTATTTCTTTTAAAAAATATGTAAGACTAAAACTTGTTTCATTTATCCAAATAAATTTTTCAAGATTTTTATATTAAAATAATATTTTTATGATAAACTTTGATTAAAATTTAAATAAAATTCATATTAGATATACAAAAAAAATAATTTCATTAGCTTTATCTTGTAAAATATTATTAAAATATTATTTTATCTCATTAATATATAATATAGTTTTTATTTATTTTTAGGTCAAAGTTCGGTCTTGGCCGTTCAAAATAAAAATTGAAGAAATATTCTAAGACGGATTAAGTATATTCACAATTAGCAAATAATTAATTTTATGGTGGATCTAAGGTCTATCATAAACCTATATATGAGTAAAATAAGCATTTATTTACTACTTAAATAAGTATTTGTTTTTTTAAATAAAAAATAAAAAAAATTTATGTAAGAAGATCTACAAAATTGATATGCACTCAAGGTGCATCAAATTAAAGAAGCACTCTTCACAGTTCTCCTATAGTATAATTTAAACATAGTTAACTGGTAGATAGAAAAACATTATACTAAGAAAGTAGCATAAGTAAGAATTTAATTTTAGAATGAATGGAGTAATTTTTGGGTGTTTAAATGAAGAATGCCATAGAATCATCTTTTATTTTAATTAGTGAGTTTTCATATACTCACTTCATTTCATATTAAGTGTTTGTTCTCATTTTCAAGATAAATTAAAAAAAATGAATGAATGTAGACATATCTTATGTTTACATTCATTCATTTTGTAATGTATGATTAGAATATTAATCGACAACTAATATGAAAGGGAGAAGTTTTTTTTTTTGAAACAACATAATAATGATTAATCATTCAACATTTATCTATCCAAAACAATTTTTCTATGTTTGAGTGAGTGTGTTATAAAAAAAGGCCGTGTACAAAACTCAACAAAATAAAAAGTCTATAATTTAAACATAGTTAGAGGATAGAATAATATATCGATGAGGTAACGTAACTAGGAATATAATTTTGGAAGGGAGAAAGAAATTTTTAGTGTTTTAATGAAGACATTGTTTGGACCAATGTTTTAAATTAACATTAGCATTTAAAATAATTTTTTTAATAATACAGATTAATTTCTTTAGCTAGTTTTTTCAAAAATTAAAATTAAACTATTCCCAAATGAACACACAAAATGGGATAAAATCATTTTAATACCCTCAAACAACTCCAAAAAAAAAGAAAGTATAGTACGGAGTACACTCCCTCCGTTCCATGAAATTTATTACGGAGTAGTATTATAAATAACCCCTATAATTTGATTTTCTTTTAGCAATGCTAGGTTTAAAAATAATATACTAAGAAAATTCACAAACTTAATATTTATGGTTTAAAATTTTATTTTAAAATTATTTTAGACTAATTTATTTTTTTATTAAAGTTCACGAATAACAAATTTATAAGATTTGTGACAATTTTATTGTGAACCAACCATTTCTCTTTTTTTATTATCAAACTTTATGATTGTGAAGAAGTATTAATTAATGGTGGTGTGGGTATAAGAATTAACAAACAAACCTGTAAAAGAGGGTGAGATTGATGAGAAGGGAGGCAATGAGGACAGAAGCTTTGACAACAGAGTAAGCAGAAGATGTTCTTCTCGTTCTTCTTCCTCCGTCGTTGGTGGGCCCCGCACACGGCAAAGAACGACTCCTCCGCCGTCAACCGCTCCAGCCACGCTGGTTTCACGCCACACCCGCCGCCGCCTTCCATCTCCTTTCCGGCCGGCCTCTTCAATTTCGCTCTATGATTTTATTCATATAAATGCTTAATTATATTTCTTGAATTTTTAGGCGGGAATTATAGAATATTATTCGAGCTAATTAATGAATCTATACTGTGGCGGAAGCTTAGCTCGCAAGTTCCTCGCGCGGCTGTTTGATTATTGGGTACACACAACAAGCTCTTGTGTTTGTACCCAAGGACACCCACACACACTCCCCCATATATAAAGAAAGAATTACGCTTTGGATGGGCATTCTAAGAGTGCACCAAGCTAAGATACAAACTCTCACTGTACAGGGAACTAGGGAGGACTTAGGTCCGTTCCGTTCCACTCATTAGCTTTTTTCTTATTCTTATTAAAATCAGCTCAGATCAGACCATATCAGATCAAACCAGATCGAATCATGATCAGATTAGATCGAATCATATCAGATCAGATCCAATAAAAAATTATTATTATCATTATTATCATTATTATTATTTTATTATTTTTATTATTATTCTTAAAAATGAAAAAGAATAATCTTTGGAAACAAGTTAAATAGAAAACTAAGAAAGTAATCCTTAATTATTAGAGTATTAGACGCTAGAAAAATTATTTTTATAATATATTGAAATGTCAATCTATTTCTACTTTTAAAATACATTTTTATTGCTCCTGTAATTTGAGTTTCTAAAGTTTTTGTCTTTTACTACATTGAGTTGATCAATTTTGATCATGACTTAAATAAAATTAACATTTGATATTCATATATTGACTATATTTTATTGTAATTGAAATAACTTATATATATATATATATATATATATAACTGAAATAACTTAAATATATACACACACACATGCACACACACGCACACACACATACATATATATATGGTGTTATATTAATCATAAAAAAAAGTTCCGTAGTACAAAGCAAAAATTGATACTCCCTCCGTTTGGAAAAACTCTTCCCATTTGATTTAGGGGCAAAAATAAGGAAGTGTTAAATTATAGTTGACTTCCAATTTTGCCCCTGATGTGATGGGTAAAAGTAAGATGTGATGGATAGATTATTAGAGAAAAAGTATAATGTGATAGGTAGGGTATGAAAAAGTAAGGGTAAAAGTGGTTTTTTAATATAAAGGGGAAGTGTTTTGTTGGAAGTGGAAAAAATGAAAAGAGGAAGTATTTTTTAGAACGGAGTGAGTATGTTATAAGGATGAGATATTTTAATTAAAATGCTATCTCTTTACTATATTGATAATCTAAATTTAATTACTTTTTAATGTATATATGAATTAAATAATAATAATAATAATAGAAACAACAACAACAACAACAAGAATAATTTTTTTTTGAGCTAACAACAACAAGAATAATAATAATGAATACTACTACTCCCTTCGTCCCACAAAATCTTTTTCATTTCTTTTTTCATTTGTCCCAAAAAACACTTCTCTTTTTCTATTACAAAATCACTTTTACCTCTAATAATGATTAACATTTCTATCACATCATACTTTTTCTATATTAATTTACCCATCACATTTTTAAAAAGTAGATATCCTAAATCTTTTAAAAATCAAAATGAGAAGTTTTTTGCGGGGGAGTGAGTAGTAAATAACTAGAGGTGTGGATGAGGGAGCCAGTGAGCCACATAGGATTTCATGATCGGAGATTTGGATCATGTGTAGCCATGGGCCGCGGTGTGATAGACGTTTCCCATGTAGCATGTTGCAGCTCCAATTCCCCGGCCTAACACAAACGTAGCGGATAACAGACTCGGGCTTCAGCAACCTGACTTCTTGGTATAACTTTTAAGAGTAAAATTCAATGGAGTAAATATAAATTAGTTGCACCTAATTTCACTAAATTTTTAGCCAAATGTATTCAATTTTAGTTAATTTGAAAAAAACACTATTGAGATTTTTCTTTTATCTTTACATATATAAACATACAGATAATAGATGTTATAAAAATTCAATATACCAAAGATACGTAGTACATGTTAAAATTCAATCAAATTGTATTAAATTTATATCAGAATTAAATATATATATTTTCATAATTCATAGCCCAAATTTGTAAAATAAGACTAAAAAGTAATAATTGCAAAGTTGTTTAAGACGAAGGGAGTATAATTAGAAAAAATTTAAAATAACATGATGTGATGAATTAACGATAGATTGATACATGCGACATGATAAAAATACTTTCAAAATATATAAACCGAAATATACCTGAACCGAAATATATCTTAAACTGAAATATACTCCCTCCGTCCCACTCTCTTTGTCCACTTACCTTTTGGCACACCATCCAATGCACTTCTTTAATCCATTTTATCTTGTAATTTGTATATTAAAAAATTATAGAAATTATATATTAATAATCTATATGTTAAGACAAATCAAACAAGATCACACATGACTATATTTAGGCTTACACATTGAGAGAATTTTGATGAGTCAAAGTGCTTAGATGAACAGTTCCAAAAGTCAAAAGTGGACAAAGAAAATGGAACGGAGGTAGTATATGAACACGAATGTCTCCAAAACTAAAATGGATCAAAATCAATCGTATTTGAACTGACCCAGAACAGATCTGAAATCGAAAATGTATAAAAGTGAATTGAATCGAAACCAAAATTGAACCGAACTGATCTCAATCAAACCTTTTATAATATATTCGAAAAATATCCAAATCAAATTATTCCAAACCGGAAATGATCCGATTGTCACGTCTAGATACAACTATTCATAGTATTTGGGCTATTTGCCAGAAATATAATATTCTCTCCATTCTAAATTTGATTACAAATTGGGATTCACGAGATAAAATATTTCATCTTTAAAATTCTTTTTTTACTAATTGGTATATAAATAAAAAATGAAAGTGACATATTAAAAAATTACGACAATAGTTTTATAAAACAAGAGATGACAAAAATATTTTTATTTTATCAATGAAAACAAATAAATAAACAAAAGTTATTGAGAGAAAGGTGAAAAAAATTATAATCAAAATTTGGATAGAGGAAATATGAAAGAAAGGTAAATTAAAATACTATAGTCGGCAAGGGTTGATAGTTGAGGGAGGAAAAGAGAGATGGGGCCTATCGTGGAGGATTGGCAGGTTGAGGGGCAAGTCATGGGAAGGAAGACAACAGCCCCGGCCCAATCAAATTATCTGATCGTTTCCTCTGCAACCTGCAAACTGCAATGCTTTTCCATGGCGTTTTCCTTTCCACTTTTAGTCATTCAATTCCATCTCCTTAATAATCTCACTAATAATAGAATTATTCACCAATCAAGTTTTATCTTTTTTTATTGACTATTGTGTTTGATAAAATAATACTCCCTCAACTCATAAATTTTTTTGCATTTGGTTTTTAAAGGTATTTAATGCAATATTTTGATCATTAATATATACAGGGAGCGTTTAAAATGACACCAGTTATTTATACACCGGTTGCTTACACCAGTTCGTTTAGGGTACCTACGGTGCTCCGTTTGTAAAAACAATGGTTCCTACCCCCCTAACCCTCCCCCTAAACCCCCCACCCCCAGCCCCCCCTTCCTACGGTGCATGACAGTGTACTGCCAGGGTAGTGAGGGGGGCGGGAGGCAGGGGCGGAGGAGAGGGCGGGGGGGGGGGGGGGGGGGGGGGGCTTCCGGGGCACGTGCCCCCCCGGCGGAGGTCCGGTGAAGAGTCATCTACAGGCGTATGTTAGTCACCGGCGCCGTGGTGCCCCTCTGATGCGCGCTTGAACTTCCCCTTGACCTAGTTCCCATCTCTGCTCTTTTTCTCGTTGCAAAATGGTTCTACATAGGATTTATTGAATCGTTTTTTTAACTAAACTAAACGGCGGCGTTTTGTGAAAAAATAAATTTCAGGCTCTAGGCACGTAAATAGGGTTTTAAAACAAATGGGCCGCTCCTTTTTAGCATTTTCTCCAATCCTAATCTCATTTTCACCCGTTTCTTAAATGCTTTGTACTCCATATTTTTTGCTTTATGCATTGCGAAGTAAATATTTATTCATGTGTTTTTTGAGAGATAATTAAGTCTATTAAATATTCAATTACTTTGTTTTGTGTTCAATTAATAATATTTTTATTTTATTAATAAAGGTCTACGTAAATACACCTCTAATCTAATTGGGTTATTATTGTTGTTGTTATTTTATTATAAGAATTACTCCATATAATTTCGGACAAATTTGTTACTTAGTAATAATTAATTAATTAACCAAATTGTTATTTTGAAAAATAACTAACATTTTGTATAATTCATAATAATAACATTTATTGTTACATTTTTTTGTGAATAATTTGATTCTTTGAAATAAATTTTTTAAATCATTTTATGTTGTTTTAAAAAAAACCGGGGGCGCTACCCCCGGACCCCCGAGGTGTGCCCCCCCAATTGTGACCTCTTAGCTCCGCCACTGGCGGGAGGGGAGGCTGGGGTGGGGGGGCAAGGGTGGGCTGGGGTGGGGGGTTTAGGGGGAGGGTTAGGGGGTAGGAACCGTCGTTTTTACAAACGGAGCACCGTAGGTATCCCAAACGAACTGGTGTAAGCAAATGACACCAGTAGCACTGGTGTCATTTTAGACTTACTGATATATATATTTACATAAAAATATATATTTTGAAAATTATAATGGTTCAAAATGAATTTATTGATATTAAATTTCTATTATAGCCCAATGTATACTTTTTGTAATTTATGGTCAACTTTTTTAAAATATGATCTAAAGAGTCTAATTGAGAATGAACTTTATGGACGGATGGAGCATATAGTGCTGTAAGTGGATAACCAAAAATTCAATTACCGTCTACATATGTATCCTTTTATATAAAAAATATCTGTATCCATTAAAAACGATTATTATCTTTATCCGATTAAGGATATCCGACTGGTAAACTGATAAGAATCTGGTAATCGTACATCCGATCCATTTATAATCCATCCTGTATAGACATCCGTTTAAGTAACCGTTAATACGTATATCCGACTTGTTATAAATAATTTTTCCTAATTTTTTATTATTATATTTTGTTTTTCTATTGACATCTCAAAATATACAGAGTAATACATTTTTATATGCAAAAAATATGTGTAGATATATAAAAATATGTGTATGTGTCTTGTGTATATCTTTTTACCATATGGAGTTGTCGTAAAATATTATAAATTATAAAAAATAAAAAAATTACTCTGTTACAAATTACAATTGAATACATAATATTTTGACTTTAATTTAATTGGAAATTAAAACATTTTTCAATTTAATTTAAAGAATTGGAAACGGATACGGATATATCTCATATCCGACGGATGCAGATACGGTTTTGATTTTTAGTATCCGTCAAGATCCGTATCCAAATTCGATATGCGATAAAAATAAGTAGATATGGATCTGGTAATGACACATTCGATCCTATTAATATCCGTTTACACTCCTAGGAGCATATAATGTCAATCCGTCTTAGGCTCTGTTCTGTACGTCTGATCTGATTGAATCTGATCTGAACTTTTAAAGTTCTGATCTGATCTGATCTGATCTGATTTCATGAGATCTGATCTGATCTAATCTGATCTGATCTGATTTGATTGGATCTCATCTCATCTGATTGGGTCTAATTCTGATCTGATTGGGTCTAATCTGATCTGATTGAATCTGATCTGATCTGATTAGATTTGATTTTCTCTAATTAGATCCGATGTAAATGAATTTAAATTTGATTTAAATTAAAGAGTAAATTCTATAATTGGTCTTTTATAATAGGGAGGTTTCCATATTTAGTCCTCTATTATCAAATATTACTCCAGTAGTTCTTTTTTATGAGTATCTTTCCACAAATAGTCCTTTTTTGATCTTCTATCATGTTTGTGTTAATTTGAGGGCTAAAAGTGTAATTTTATAATGATAATATATCTTTTTTATCATACACAATTCCAAAGGCTGCTCCGTTTGCGTCGTTTTTGAATTATAGTCGCTTTTTACAACAACCATAGTCTACAAATGTAATCTTTCGTCAGAATCCTAGCCCACAATCATAGTCATTATTTTTGTGTTATCCGCTTAACCAATATCAGAACACGTTACTAGAAGTAATATTGATGTCAAATTATATACTTTTAACCTTTAAATTAACACCAATACGGTAGAAGATAAAAAAAGGCAATTTGTGGAAATGTACCCTTAAAAACGGACTACGGAGTAATATTTGATAATAGAGGACTAAATATGGAAACCCTCTATTATAAAGGACCAATTATGGAATTTACTCTAAATTAAACTTAAAATTATTACAAAATTTAATAGTTTTAAAGTATTACAATTCATATATACATAAAAAAAAAGTAAAATAAGAAAATCAACTAATCATTAATATGTTTAAACTTTTTTAAAAAATATTAAACATCTTTTCAATATCACAACTTTTTTAATTTTTGCGAAAACTAAATAATCAGTATTGAAATAAACAAATATTAGAAAATATTGATGCTATTCTACAAAATTATCACATTCTATATACATATTACATAATAATATATTTCATGTTACAAATTAAAGATCATATAAAATTTTTAAAACTAATATCATTTTCACTTCTATCAATTTTGTCATAAACTCACCCTTGAGTATATTATACCATCTTAAAGTTTAAAAGTAAGTCTTTTTAAGTATAAAATATTTATATTTTTGAAAACTAAATTTTGTATATTTATTTTATAAGCAAGTATTTTAAAATAACTCTTTTTAAAGTATGAAAAATAAAACTTTTTAAGCTTTAACATTGCTTCCATGCATCATTTCTATCCTACAAGCGAAAAAATTATATAAAATAATGGTTTGTAGTTGAAATATAATAATAATAATAATAATAATAATAATAATAATAATAATAACAATAATAATAATAAAATTACAACAATAATAATTAAAATTATAATATTAATTAAGATTTAGGTGTGTGTAGTTTTAATTAAAGTAATGTGGTTTAATCAAATAATAGTAATTATTATTTAATCCTCGAAAAATATAAATATTATCTTTTATATTTTTTTCATGATTTGATATTATTGTATTTGACCTCGTCTGATCTGATGTGATTGGATCTGGTCTAATCTGATTAGATCTGATATGATTGGATCTAATCTGATCTGATTGAGTCTGATCTGATCTGATTGAGTCTGATCTGATCTGATTAAGTCTGATCTGATTGGATCTGATCTAATCTTATTGCATCTAATCTGATCTGATTGGATGTGATCTGATCTGATTGGATCTGGTCAGATCTGATTGGATATGATCTGATCTCATTGGATCTGATCTGATCTGATTGAGTCTGATCTAATCTGGTTGAGTCTTATCTGATCTAATTGGATCTGATCTGATCTGATTAGGTCTGGTCTAGTCTAATCTGATC